TTTTTTAGTTTTATTTTGAGACAGGGTCTCACTAAGTTGCCCAGGCTGGCCTCAAACTTGCAATCCTCCTGCCTCAGTCTTCCAAGTCACTGGGATTATAAGCATATACCAACATACCCAGCTTCTATCAAACTTTTACCCTGCAAATATTCTAAATGTTGATTCATTTCCTAATAATTTTAAAACTACACATATTTGTTGAAATCAATGCAATCTCATTAGTCTAATGTTTTAGAAAGCTATTTGAATTTATTTGAACACTGAATAAAACTTATCAGAATTTTTAATTATTGTTTGAAAGCCTGAATTTTATCATTAACAATGTTATCCTTTCAAGTAAAAAACTAGTCCACTTCACATTGCCCTTTCCTTTGACCATCATACTTCAATACACAACAGTGTTTAATCACACTTCCCATTTCATTACACATATGTTCAAACAAGGTATATAATCAAGGGTCAAGATGTAATAAAATTAATTTTTACTGCTCTATCAAAAACATTCTTAAGAGAAATAATGAAACAATATTTTCATTATTTGGGAACTCTGATTTATGCTAACAAGACTCTAAAAGTTTTATATGCTATTATTTTTGTGCCATTGATAACAAAAGTCTACAGTAAAAAGAAAAATAATGCTTTAGTGTTATTAAAATAGTTTCAATCTCACATAGCCCTGGAACAAAACTCTGGGACTTCTGGGTATCCAAAAGCATTAGTTCAAGAAATACAGTTCCGCATTAATATCACTACATTCTTAAGCATACCACATATGCTTTAATAAATGCTTGAACTTACTAAAAGTTTTTATACTGCAATAAAACATGGTACAAGAAAAAAATTATTCAATCAAAGCTATAATAACCCAGCTGAAAATAATAAAATTGTATACAGTAAACATAGTGTGCAATGTTAAAAAATGTTTTTAATTCCAAAGGTCAGGCTTTAGTTTGTAATTAGTACAAATAGCTTCAACTGAAAAGTAAAAGGAATTTTATATTTAACTGGAAAATTATTATGCACTATTTCATACCTATTATTAAATAATTTTCAGAGGTGCCAATCACAGACCTTTAAACAATACTGAAGATTACTACAACTGCCAGGCACAGTGGCACATGCCTATAATCCCAAATCAGGGTTGAGATAGGAGGATCACTTGAGCCCACAAGTTCAAGGACATCTGGACAACACAGTGAGAGCCCATCTCAAAAATGAACAAAAATGACTAATACAATTAAAAGTAGATTCATATATTAACTAAAAAACCTGAAAGTTTTAATTCATTTCAAAAAAAATTTTACACAGTTAACAAATTAAAATGTGTTTTTTCTTACCACAGTGATACTGACGGCATCATCAAACTGATGCATTAAGACACTGATGACTGCAGAAGCCAGAAGCAGCATAATAAGGGGATTTTTAAACTGAAAGTAAAAACAAATAGCAATTCAACACTGTTTTTACACAAATGATAGTTTTGTACTATCTCAGCAAAGGCTCAAAAGGACATGATTTGAAAAATATGAGAATATACATTTGGTTTATTTTATATGTTTTCAATTACTCATAAAAGGAAGGAAGCTATATTTAATTACATATAAAAGCTTCACAGTGGCTCCTTTTCAGAAAGAGAAAATATCAACATTTAAAACAAAGAATTCCCAATTTCTTATACCATACATGTATTTTAGCATTATATTAATTTAATAAATAAAGCTGTTCTGAATTTCTACTGCATCTAGAAAAAGCTGAGTCCAATTTTTAAGCTAAAGATTTAGGATAAACACAAGTTAGAACACCTAAATCATGTGATTTAAACATTCCTCAAATAGGTAAATTTGTATAGATAACAATGCTGTGGTTGACGCACATGCCACAGGTATAACCCCCAGAGATGGCCAGGAAAAGACACTAAGATCCACTTCACAAAAGAAAATGAGGATTTTCCTCAAGGCTAGTTTTCTTTTATTTGACAGAAACAGAACCATATCATGACCAATCCAATTAGGCAGCACTTAAAAGGCCAACTAACAGAACCACCCCAAATTCTTCCAGTTAGACTTACTCCTTAATGTTTTTCCTATGCTAAAGTGATACATCACTGTCAAAGTTGCAAAATAAATGTGTTACAAAGAGTCTTGCCAGCAAAGAGTCCCAGGCCCTAGATATCACAGTTTATGAATACAGAAGCCACAGCTCCATTGCTGTGGTTTCAATACTACTTCACCAGATACTCACAAAAGGAACTTGTAACAAATGCCAATAATGCCCAGGTTCACACCAGACCAATTAAATTAGAATTGCAAGGCACTGGATCCAGCATCAGATTTTTTTAAACAATCTCAAATTGAGTCCAGGGAGTAAGGTAGGGGTGGGGCAAACATCACTGCTCTAGCAAAATAAAATTACAACTGCAATATAGTTAAGGTCTGACAAACCACGACCCAATGCAATTCCTGTCACCTGTGTGGCAACTTAATCATCACCCAGATTCATCACCTTGTGAAATGGAACTTTATATCAAGGAATTTGTAATAAGGATTAATTACAAATGTACTGTGTAAACCATAAAACTCTATTCAAAATGTAGCTGTTAACCATCACATTTTAAAAGCAATGCCCATGGTCTTTTCTACCCTGCTAAAAAGGCTGTGCCATAGTACTAATTAAGCATACCACTTGGTAGGCTGTAGACACCAGACAGATGTTTACGGAAGCACAAATTCAGAGTTCTGTGAAAGGAGTTAAGAGTCACCCAGTACTTTATGATTAACAACTGATATTTTCTGTTAATTGTTGTTTATGCTTATATGTGTACTGTTTAATTTTCACAGAAATCCCAAGAGACAGGCTCTTTAGCTTTAGTAACAAGAAAAAATAAAAATCATTCAAAGCATTTCCAGAGTAAACTATGTTAATACTTTCTGAAGTTTTACATAAGATGAAACTATGGTAAATATGAGAATACAATTATGTAAAGTAAAAAATATTCCATAAAATAAGACACATACACAAATATCTTTCAATCCCTAAAATTTCGATTTTGCCACTTTAGACAAACTCACATGCAAAGTTAAGACTGATAAATCTGTGCTCTTTATCAAGCAAGACCCTTTAGAAAAGTTAAACATAAATCTTCTTAAAAAAGAACCTACTAGAAGGGGCAGGGGAGAAATGTGCTGGTTAAAGGCATTGAATTTTTCTTTACTAAAAAGAACTTATTTGTTTAGCAAACCATCCCCGCTAGTTAAAGTTTTTACATAAACATAATTGTTATTAAAAAAAATCCTACAATGTCTTTCCTAAAAGATTAGAATAATAATATTATTATAAATAGCTTACTATCTACACAGGTTATAGCCTTTTATAACAGAGGTTAAAGAAGATTATACAGTTGGTAAGAAACTAAGATCTAATTTATACCCAGGCACTTAAGAGTTTAAATTGCTGAACTTAAATAATTTTCTAAACTGGCCATGATTGCCTTAAAAATTATTAGCATTCCTACAATTAAAATAGTACATGTTCAATATCTGCAAAGGAAATTACAGCCAACAAGATCATCTTTGTGTGATCTATTAGTATAGAAAATGTTACCCTTTAAAAGTTATAAACTAAAAATTACAGAAATTCCAGCCTAACAGTAAATGCTAACATATTGAAATTATTAGAGAAAAATGTTTTTTAAAATTTATTTTCTTTCTCCATAAATAACCTCACAAAAGTAAACAACTACATTTTTTAAAAAATCCACATAAATTAACACAGAGGAGAAACAAAGTATCTTACCTGAGAAATATACTTCTTCCATAGTGGTTCATCTTCACTGATATCAAACTCATTCCAGCCATGGAAGGCTCGCCTATGACTAACCTCGCATTTGTTTAGACCATTCTGAAGATCAGCCTATTCAATTTTATATACAAAAGTTATCAAAAATGTTAGCACAGAACAAAAGAAGAAAAACATAAAAGACTACACAGTGTATGAACACATCTACAGGAAGTTTACAATTATGAAATCTAATGTATGATTACAAAAAGCTTCTCAGTAGTTACCTGGAGATAATCAACTCCAAAGAGACATGTGGAAGTCTTTTTTTTTTTTTTTAATATTCTTTAGTTATACATGGACACAATATTTTTATTTATTTATTTTTAGGTGATGCTGAGGATTGAACCCAGTGCCTTGCATATGCAACGCAAGCACTCTGCCACTGAGCCACAGCCACAGCCCCTGTGGGAGCCTTTTGGAGTGATAAAATGTTCCGTTTAATTGTGGTATTAGTCACATTTTCAAAAGGCAAACTGTACATTTAAAATCAGTGCATTGCATTTTATGTAAATTATACCTCAATAAAATTGATTTTCAAAAACTGTAAGCAACAAGATAGGAGTTTAACAAACTCATTTTTATAATCAGAAAGAGATAATACAAACAGTCCCTACTACATCCTAACCAGCTTTTTTATTTTTAATGTTGTTTACTAAAATTATTTTTCAAAAGAATATTTAGACGTTATAAATGCCTGCCTCATTCTCCAAGTCTATCAAAACCCTAAGGTTAATATTACTTTTTGTTCTTGGATTGTACAATTATTTTAGGCTGGAAATTTGTACTTCTTAAGTTATTTAAGGTAATTAAGATGAACTTATTCATGGGACATTATAATACCATCTATGATAATACCATATAAATCCTTCAGTTACTATGTCATGTTTTCTATGGTACCTATTATTAAAAAAATGAAACTTCCTGCAGCCTAAAATAACTAGCTGCCCTGACAGAAAGCTTTAAAATAGAGATCAATAATCAAGACTTTCAAAACTTAAACATACTTAAAGTATAAACAAATAAAAAACTCAAAAAATAGATAACAGGACTGAGGCTATATAACTCTGTGCAGAATGCTTGACTATCAAGTATAAACACCCGGGTTAAATCCCTACCATTGCCAAAAAAAGAAAAAAAGCAATGTTTTTAATGCTACAAACAAAATGTGAATGTCTGAAGGAAAAGTTAAAAGCACTCTTTTCTTCATGTATCAATAGATGTGCTTTTTAAAACTAGAAAAGAAAAAATTACATAAGCAATTAAATTTTATTTTCAACTCTGAACTTGCACTTAGCTTTTATTTCACCTTAGAAAACCCTTAAAAAAAAAAAAAGATAAACTCTATAAACACTATGTTACTAATTAAATTGATTATTTTCCTAATCCAACTAGTGCTTACACAGCACGAGTAGTTTCTGGCTGGCAATGCTAGTGATCTAGAGCTGCAATGTCATAATCAGGTAGCCAGTAACCACAGTACAGTTATATAAAAGAATTAAATTTAGTTCCTCTATCACAGGAGTCAAGTTTCAAGTCATATAGTCATGGTTAATTCAGTCAAGTTTAAACACATTACAAGCTCAACAGTTACCATACTGTCAGCACAAAACAGTATTTCTATCATTGAAAAAACTTATATTGGGCAGCACTGATTGATAAAGCCTAAAAGACTGATTTCACACTATCTAATTCCCTTTCTCCCACCAACCACTTACTTGGAGAATGCTTGCAACTTCACTCACTGGTAATTCACTTGCTTTTTTTGATGTCAATACAGGAATCATTGTCTCATTTTCACCATTAGGTATTTTTTGAAAACGTGCAACCTAGGAAATAAAAACCAAAGGAAAAATAGTTGAATACATTAAAACAACTGTAATGCAATCCAGAATAATAAATGAAAATCGAAAATAACTCATTTTCCACAGTTAAAAAAATATTCTCAGACAAATGAGCACTGAGTCCTAATAAAACACCTTCATATTAACCACAGCCTATTTTTCTTGAAAGTATATTTGAAAACTTAAGCCACCAGTGCCAGCTAAAACTCAAAATCTTTACATTAAAAAGATGCTATTTCTCCAAAAACAAAAAAGAGTAAAAATAGGTGTCCCATCTATCAGATCCTGATAATTACACATAATCATAATCCTCTAAACTCATTACGTTTAACACAAGGAACAAGGACCAGCTAAGCTCTCTCCATTTTAATTATTCCCCTTGATCAGCTCTACCCTTTTCTGCCCAGAATGGACGCCCAGCTACTCTTCCAAAGCACCAGGACAGCAAGTCAGATTAAAGAGCTATTCCCAAACTAGAAAGAAAATGAGAAGAAAAAAGACCAGACAAGCAGAGGATGCACAGGTGAGTGAAGGGGTAATGTGCAGAGTACATCACAAGAAAGGCAGTAACGAGATTACTGACTTGACCAACTTTCTTAGCAAATACCTAGTTCACACAATTCTAGAAACAAATGCCCAATTCAGACTTGTCTTTGGTCCTAAGCTGAGATTTCTTATACACAAAAAGTTTTGAGTAGGCTGGAGAAAGGGGAAAACCTCTCCACTACTGAAACTCTGGAGAAAAAAAGCACCTCAGTTGCTACACATCCACTTGATTAAAAGAAGACTGAAACTAAAGTGATCATCTTACTATCCAGATCCAAATTTTAAGCTTTCAGATGAAATGTTTTCAAACTGAGATAATCAACATTTTTAGAATAAAATTTTTAAATAACACTTCTTTATGTCAACAAATGAGATCAAATAATAATTTAAGATTCAGGACAGAGGCCTGTATGCAAAAAGAATCTCAATTTACTGCAAAAAAAAAATAGTATATAGCTGAGGGAGAAAAGTATTTCTTCTGGGTGATCAAATTACTGGAGCCAAAGACAAGTTTTCTAATCTCATGTATTTAAAAAAAGCATTGTTAAATGTTTTAAATATCTTGAAACAAAGAGCAACAGATTTTTTTTCCACTTTTATTAAGGAGATATTAACGACTAAAAATACTGAGGAAATTATAGATTACCTTTCTTTCATGCAAGGTCTTAAAATTATAAGACTTAAGAGAAAAATTGGGAAATTTATAAAACTTGCACATGTTTAGAGGCATTAAAATGCCCTTATTTCAAATCTATGAAACAAGCTAAGCCAGAGAAAAGGAATTCACTGAACATTTCTAAGTTAAATACTCAAGAAAATTTAATAACAATGAGAATTAAACCAGATGACATTTCATCTTGTAAGATTGTGAAGCAAATAATGGAGCTGGATTGTAGCTCAGAGGTAGAAGCGCTCACCTAGCATGTGTGAGGCGCTGGGTTCCATCCTCAGCACCATAAATAATTAAATAAACAAACGAACAAATAAATAAAATAGTTATGTGCTCAATTACAACTAAAAAAATTTTTTTTCAAAAGATAGTAAGGCAAATAAAAAGATCAAATGTTTATACTGCCTGCAGTGACAATGGCATTTAATAAAGATCTTGTACTTTAAGGTTCCTGAAAATCATTTACTTACATAGCAAATAGGGATAATAGTGCCTAAATAGAATTTACTGGGGATTAGGTTCACTAATGTAGCATTTGACCCACAAGCAATAACTGCTCATCTGATAGTTACTTTTTTCCTAAGAACTAGTTAATAGTTATAGTATATACTCAATAATATAACTAGCTCAAGTAGGTCATCACAGAACTAAATCAAGGGAATTCAGATATTCAGATATTATAAAGTTTTTTTTATTTAAACATACTTCTATCATTCAGATATTGACTAAAGGTGTAGCTCAGTGGTAGACAGTATGCCTAATATGTGCAAGGCCCTGGGTTGGATCTCTAACTCATGCACACAAAAAGAGAGAGAGAGAGAGAGGAAAAAATAAGAAAAATTGCTAACTCTGGTACCAAATATGCCTATTCATAAAATTTTCAAGTACCCTTTGTGTGGTTGGCACATAGATATGGTCTATATTTGATCATAATTTATATAAAATCCTTTAGAGCCATTTTATTGACACAAAAGTGCTAAAAAATCTCAAGGAGGAAATGAGATTATTTCATTTCATCTTGCTCTACAGGAGCATGTTGTTAACTCTCTAAATATGTTTTGAGATGCTCTCCAACTGTAACTCTACCTATTGCCTCAAGTGTGTTTTTCAGTTGCTTACCTCTCCTGCACTTATAAACAAAATCATAAAGTCCTGCACAGAATGCCAGATCACACTGAACTTTGTCATTCTAAGTGAGTAAAGTGAAAAAAAGAGCAGAAATGTATTCATAAATACAAGGATGCAGTGAGCAACAAGACAGGTAGGGATTCTGATGAAGGACACAAAAGCTCCCCAAATGAATGGAATTATTTTACAAGCCTGCTTACCCAAGAGGAGCCAGACACAAAAGAGGAACATCAAGCAGATATTGGCCCAAAGAAGCAACAATTTCTGGGAGCTCACTGAGTAAAGACAACAGCAGACCCTTTGACAATGAAAAAAAGATTGCCATTTTTTTAGCTGTTAGTTGTTATTTATATTCATATGCAGGCAAAGATGACCTGTGAGTCTCTGAGGAATGGGACTTTTTTCATGATGAACTGGAAGGCTTTTTTATTCGGATCTATAGCAACTTTGCATGAATTGTTAGCTGGTGTGCTGAGCCTCAAGATGGTAGCTATCATCTGGTGGTGTGGCAGTGGCCGTTTCTCTGCTAAGAAAGCCTATCAATTCCAGGTGCAGTCAGAGGGCTGGGGAATACAGCTCAAGTGGCCAAGTGTTCCTGGTTTCAAGCCCAATACCAGAAAAAACAAAAAATAAAATAAACAAAACACTGGCCCTGCTTTAGGAATAATGGGTAAAAACACTGGACATGCCAAGTAGCTCAGACTTACAAAATAGATCCTTGCATTTTATGGTGAAATCTGCACATCTGTGTTTGTTTTATTTTTTGGTTTTGTTTGTTTCAGGGTTTTCTGTTTTTTTCTACAGTACCAGGGACTGAACCCAAGGGTGCTGAGCTACATCCCAAGCCCTTTTTATATTTTACTTTGAGACAGGGTTTTCAATTGTGAGGCTGGCCTCAAACTTGCAATCCTCCTGCCCACGTCCTGAGCTGCTGGGATTAAAAGTGTGTGCCACTGCCACCCTGTAACATCTGTTTTTTTGTTTTCTACTTTGTAATCCCCAATGTGCACTTATTCATCCCTTCTTTCACTGCATCCAAATAATACTACTGGGTAACCAGAAACAAGGTCATATGTGTTGAGATGTTAACTATATTTTTTATAATAGGAAAGTTGTGAAACAATACATACAGAAGAACACAGGCATAAAATAAATAGGAATTGGAAGATAACTCCCAAAGGTTGACAGACTTGATGTGTGTGTGTGTTTGTGTGTGTGTGAGAGAGAGAGATAAGCTTCTTATCTCTGCACAGATACACTGTTCTTAGCTTTGTTGGAAAACCATAGTTTGGCATTTTCAGACTTGTATGACAGATCTTCAAGGACAAAGCAGTACACTGGTAGTTCCTAATACAAAGCAATGTTAACTCTATCTTTACAATAAAGAAATGGAGGTAAGCCACAGATGTTAAATCTTGTTATCCCATATGTTAAAATGAATTGTTTTAAATAAAGAGTTGTATATAATGTTTTATGTAATCTCCTAACCTTTCCAACCCAGGCACTTTTTGAAAAACCTCTGTCCTCATCAGGGGGATTTTGTCATCAGGTTTTGTTGTCTGTTTTTGTGGGCATTAGCATCATTCTACCACTAAACTTTGCAGATAGATACATGTTATCCAAAAGTCTAAGGTGTTTATTGAAGTGGATTAAATTGTCTGAATTAAAGGTCATGCTTTTAAATTAAATAAGAAAGAGCAACTTCAATAGATGAATGGATAAAGAAACTGGCATATATACACAATGGAATATTATTCGGTCATAAAGAAGAACGAAATTATGGCATTTGCCAATAAATGGATGAAACTGAAGACTACCATGCTAAGTGAAATAAGCCAATCCCAAAACATCAAAGGCAGAATGTTCTCTCTGATATGCATATACTGACTAACAACAGGGGGTGGGGTTCACCCAGTCAGACAGGGGGAGAGGGGTGAGAATGGGAAAGTCAATAGAATGAATCAGACATAACTTTCCTATGTTCATATGAGTATGAAGATATGACCAGTATAACTCCACATCATGTACAACCACAAAAATGATTAACCATACTCCATGTATGTATGATATGTCAAAATGCATTCTACTATTATGTATAACTAAAAAGAACAGATGAAAATAAGGGGGGGGATCCTTAAATTGTTAGAAGAATTATTTGGTCAGAAATTTGCAAACATTTTGTTGATCTATTTCCTGAAGACAACTTTGGGATGCTCCTGATGTGTTCATCTATAGTATAATTTCCTGGACCCCATCCATTCTTTAAGAAAAAAATAAGTAATTGTTGCAAAGGTCTCTAATTTGCAGCTGCCTTTTTGTAAGCAGCACTCTTTCTAATTACAACAATTTTTTTTAAGAGAGTTTTGGTGTTAAGATGAAATAACAGCATGTGTTTATGTTCATTAAAATGATCTAACAGGAAAAAAACTAATAATACAGAAGAGAGATGGGACAATATGAGTAAAAATCACAATGAGAACTATGTTCATACCTACAATGGCTAAAGTAAAAAAGACAACTAAAAACTAGTGCTGGAGAAAGAACCTTCACATTCTGGGGGGGATTGTTAAACAATGCGGCTACTATGGTAACAGTTTAGTAGCTATTACATATTATGCTTATGTTATTAGGCAAACATTTA